ATGGCCATGCCTTAATTCACCAGCAGCATGTATACTCCTATATGCAAAGTAACCAAATCTCTATAGTTCTCCCACACAAACATATTCTCCCTTTCACATCCATTTCCTGAGTTTATGGGTGATCTGGCTAAAGGTGATATTTTTCCAAACTCCTTTAAAAATAGTAATGACTGTGTGATTGTGTTTTTCCCAAAGAGTGCAATATGTTCAGCTTCTTGATTAAAAAGAAATTACAGCTGGGTGAAGTGGTGCATGCCTATAATACCAGCACTCTAGGAAACTAATGCAGGAAGTCTGCAAGTTTGAGCCCAGCCTGGGCAACTTAGCCCAGTGAAAGCCTGTCTCAAAATTTAAAAGTATAAAAAAAGAAGGGGGCTTATGGGGCTATAGCTAATGCAAAAGCCCTGGATTCAATCCCTAGGACCTCAATTAAGCAATGGCAATTGTTTCACCTGCATTTTATTTCCCCAGCCTGAAGAACATTCTACCATACAGAAAATGCCCTAGAGTAGAATAATTAAATGGGAAGAGTTTGGGTCCCAGAATAATCTCATGCAACACTTCATAGAACCTTAAGAGTCTAGACCCATCATTATTTTGACAGAAAGTAATAAATGTACTGATTATTTAAGCAATTATATTTTAAGGTCCCTTTGTTACAGTAGTTTAGGCTCTCAGAGATTTATCAGTCATCATTTTTTCAATATAAATGCACAGTATGTAATTTATTAAAAACTAAAAATATTCACCGGGCATGGTGGTGCACTCCTGTAATCCCAGCACTGGGAGGGCCGAGGCAGGAGGATCGCTGTGAGTTCAAGACCAGCCTGGGTTCCACACTGCGTTCCAGGTCAGTCTCAACTACACAGTGAGACCCTGTCTCAAAAAAAAAAAAAAACAGAAAAAAAAAACTAAAAATATTCAAGATGAAGATATGAGTCATCTTTGTAGGGGATAAAGAAACTAAGTAAACAGACTTCAGCAAAGAAAAGCCCAACCCCAAATGGTCTCATTGCTAAATTTTAAAGTAATTATTTAAAGAATTAACATTAATAAAGTACTTGCCGCCTGCCTTGCAAGCACAAGATCCCAAGTCTGACCCCCAGTACTCCCCCAAAAAGTTTAATACAGTACTTAACAAAAAATGATTAAGAATTAAAGAGAAATGGGCCAGGGATTTAGATCAGCGGTTCAGTGGCCTGCCTTGCAAGCCCAAGGATCTGAGTTCAATTCCCAGTACCAAAAAAAAAAAAAAAAGAATTAAAGAGAAAACATTTTCCAACTTATTCTATGAGGACAGTATTACTTTAATCTTAAAACCAAAGACATAAAAGAACCTATGAAACAGTATCTCTTAAGCATATAGAAACAAATTCTTAAAAATATATTTAAAAAAACAAATTTAGTACGCCTGCCTTGCAAGCACAAGGTCCTGAGTTCAATCCCCTGGTACCAAAAAAAAAAAAAACCCAAAAAGTATATAAAGGAATATACATAGATATATAGATATATAGATAGAGATACAGAGAGAGACCACATGGGACTTAAGAGGACTGGAAGGTTGGTTAGGCATATGAAAAAATCATGTAATGTACCACATAATGGAGTAAGAGAAAAAAATCACACAGAGTTATTGCAATAGAAGCAGAACCACCATTGGACAAAAATACAACAGGCTGTCATGATTAAATACAAAAAAATAAAAATTTGTGCTTTAAAGAGCACTATCAAAAATATGAAGAGATTAGACTTGGTAGCACATGACAGAAATTCCAGATACTTGGGAGACTGAGAGAGAAGGATTACAAGATCAAGGACTGCCTGGGCAACTTGGCAAAACTTTGTTTCAAAAATTAAAAATTAAAAAAATATTAAAAGGGCTGGCGATGCAGTTCACAGCTCCCTGGATTTAATGTCTAGTACCTCACAAATCAATTTAAGTGAAAAACAACAAAGAATGGAAGAAAGTATTAGCAAATCATATATGTGGTAAGGGTCTAGTATACAAAAACACTCTCACACGCACACAAAAAAACTCTTACAACTCAAAAATAAAAATGCCAACATCCAAGTAAAACACAAGTAAAGACAAAAAGATAAACAAAGGACAATAAGCACATGAAAAGAATGCTTAATATAATCAGTCATTAGAGAAATTCAAATCAAAACTAAACTTCACACCTACTACAATGACTTATAATAAAATAACACAAACCAAAACCAAAACAATAAGATATACTGGTGAGGAGGAATATGGAAAAGGAATCCTTATACATTTCTGATAGAAACATAAAATGGTGCACTTATTGTGGAAAAATCTAACAGTTCTTCACAAAGTTAAGAATGGGATTACCGTATGATGCAGCACTTCCATTTTGGGAACATACTCCAAAGAAATGAAATTATGTGTATACCCCAAAATTTGTACATAGATATTCAAGTACTATTCGAACTATTCTAGAACTATGCAATACCATTTGAACAAAATATCCAAATTAGCCAAAAGATGGAAGTAAATTAAATACCATAAACTTATAAGGATAAGTAAAATCCAGTATATCCATACAATGCAATACAATTCAAATATAAAAGGGAACAAAGTACCAATACAAACTACATGGATAACATGAAAATATCATGTCAAGAGAAAGAAGCTGGACCCAAAAGACGGTACGTTACATGATTCCATTTATATTAAATACGCAAATCTATGAAGACAGAAAATAGATTAGGGGCAGAGAATACTGGGAGAATATAGGGGGTAGAGAGTATAGGATATAGAATTTCCTTTCACTGATGAAAACGTTCTGGAACTAGATACCAGTGGTCCCTAAAAAACACTGTGAATATACTAAATGTCAATAATGGTAAGTTAAATAAAAGAAAGAGGGTTTGGGATATAGCTCAGTGTTAGAGCACAGGCCTAGCACACATGAGGACCTGAAATCAATCCCAGCACCATTTTTTTAAAAAAAGGAAGCAAACAGACAAAAAGGAGTACATATTATATGACTATATAAAACATGCAGAAGAGGCAAATTTATGAAGTCATAAAATACCTTACTGGTTGCTATGGGCTTAGGGAAGGGGAATGACTGCTAATGAATATGAAGTTTCCTTTAGGGTGATAAAAATGTTCTGGATTACTGATAATGGCAGCACAACTTTGTAAATATACTAAAAGCCACTAAATTATAGAGTTTTAAAGACTGAATTTATGGTATGTGACTATATTTCAATTCAAAAAATAGATGAATTACAACCAAAACCACAGAACTAATTGGATTTAACAATCATCTCAATTCTGAGATCTTACAAAGGAACTAATAATAAAGAGAATAAAATAAATTATATATGATCCTAAAGTTTGTTAATAGTAGAATGAAGATGAGTAAACAAGATACTTCAGTTCTTAGAACATTAAATTAAAATTTTAAAAACCTCTAACAAACAAATTTATTCATAAGGTATTACATTATTTGTAGTCCTGTAAAACCAATGTCCTGAAATCCTAGCACCTCCTTTTAAACTCCAAAACTTTGATTTATTAATAATCATTCTGTTAGGGCCAGGGATTTAGCTCAGTGGTGCCGCTGCCTGCCTTGTAAGCACAAGGTCCTGAGTTTGATACGCAGTACCAAAAAAAAAAAACATTCTGTTATAAGCAAAACGGCAACTTCATTGGTATTTGAAAAGCACTGAATAATTAAAAATTTATTCACTTATTCAGTTTAGAATACTACAGAGGTTTAAATTAAATATTATTAGTATTAAAAATAAGAACCAAGATGGATCATGTAAAGGTGCAAATTTCCAATGATGAATGTCATTATACTGTATACCTTAAATGTACCAATAAAATTACATTATATAATCAAGCTTACAGAAAACAGCATCAAATCTGTGAAATACTGAGTTGACTTTGCAGTGCTTCAATCTTGTGCAAAAATATTGTAATATATTGCATACTGGGTTTTTGAAAAATTTGACAGTCTTACCATTTAGAGCTGGGAGCCTATGTTCCCTCCACTTGACTCTGGGCAGAGCTGTGACTGCTTCAACCAATAGAGTATGGTGGAAGTGACCTTTCTAAATTCCTGACCTAAAGAATCATTGAGCTGATTAAAATGATTATTGTTTTACATCACTTAAGTCGAAGTGGTGTATTATACAGCAAAGTTAACTGGAATAGCACATAATACAAACAAGGAACTCTTGTCTCTCTGATGGTTCCCCTTTTCATAGCACTCTATAATCATATGCTTTCTCAAGAAAAAAAAAAAGGCCAGATATGAAAAAAAAAATATATATATATATATACACACACACACATACCCATTTTTTAAAAAGTAGACGAATTATTTTTCAATCACCTAAAATGAAGCTAATATTTTAATATGTTACAAGAGTTAAAATATCCCCAAACTAATGGGCAAAAAAAATCCCCAAAGGACATCTTATAAATATACCATATACATTACCATAGGTTTTAAAAAATTATATGGTTCTCCACATTGAGATGCAAATCCAGACAATTTTTATACTGAATAGTCTTCCTTTTAACAAGGTCCTTCCTAAAACTGATTTCGAGTAGTCAGATTATACTCATTAACAAGCTATTTGGCCTTGTAAATAATTTAAAAAAGTTTCTCATACTGGCCTAATAGGCATTGCACATTTTACTTCTCAAGTCAGGACAAATCCTGACTTTGCCTATGCATACTGGGTGGTTATAAACAACAATGATAACATCCCTGGATGTTTATCTATATATTACTTGATGTGATCAGGATGATTTTAAGGATTTAATGAGCTATAACTCTGAAACCTAACTTAGTAGTAGTAAAAGAGGAGACTCATACACAAACAGATATGAATTTTAGAGTTATAAACTGAATTTCATAACCTACTATAAAAGTTAAGCATCTGATGAAGTGCAAACATTAGTTTTACAAAATACAGCATTTCAGTAATAGAAAAGGTAATTTATAAATAGTTACCTTGATCAAGTATTTTTCCCATCTGTCTGCTGTAACAGATTTGCCAATCTTCCTCATCAACTTCAAATGGAGCTCCACCAATTCTTTTGGTACTTAAAAGGAAGGGAAAAAATATTATTAAAGTTAGTTTGTAAACGAAAAAATAAAAAGAATTTTCCTCATGAATACTTTTTCAACACAAATGACACTGATTTTACTTTTTACACCTGTGCATCAAAAAAGCCTAAACTAGAGCAAGAATTCTTCAAAACTATTTAATAATGAGCAGGAATACAGTCTTTGAAACTGCTATCAAGATACAATGAAATCTGATATAAACTACAGACTTTAGGGGATAATTATTACAGATTCATCAGTTTGAACACTGTCAGGCACTGTAGTGCAGGAAGTACACAATGGAGGAAGTCATGCATGTGTGGGGACAGCAAGTACATGTGAATCCTGTGAACTTTCTTCTTAATTTTTTCTTTTTCTTTTTTTTGGTACCAGGGATTGAACTTGGGATCTTGCGCTTGCGAGGCAGGCAGTGGCACCACTGAGCTAAATCCCTGGCCCCTGCTTAATTTTTTGTGAACAAAAATCTGCTCTAGGATTTCCAGTAAGATGGCAGAGTGGTGAATAGATGAAAAAGAGCCTCTCCAAGAATTAGTGTCCAGATGCTGGAATATAGCTACATAAGGAAGAGAAGAAGGAGGGAAGTGAGTCTCCAGGACCCAGGAAGCATGTGAAGTGAGTACTGAAGCCCATGGGAGAACAGAGAGAAAGACTTGAACAAAGAAGGAGGTGGCAAGTGCTGCTTTCCCCCTAACCCTTGACTCACTGAGTGGGAAGGTGGCTCAAACCTGCAGAAGGCACGGGGACTACTGGCAACCCCAGAGGCCTCCACAAAGAAACATGCCAGTGGAACGGAACAGTAGACACAGTGAACTACAGCAGCTTGGGAGTTATTCAGGTTCAGATGGTCCCCTGGAGAGGACCATTGGCCAGTAGCCATCTTAGAGAGAAGTCAACTGACTTCAGAACTCAGAGCACTACAGGCTGGCTCCATCTAGCAGCTGCCAGCATCAGGGAGAGGCTGCTGCTTTAAGTCAGCAGGAAGTCAAGGAGCCAAGTTCCAGCCAGTAGGAAGCACATGCAGTGTCCGGAAAAAATCGGGTCCCTGCCTCACAGTCAGAAACCAGCCTGACCTTCAGTAGAACTAAAAGTGCAGGCTTCCTGGGATTATCTACTACCCCATCATAAATCTATGGCTGGCTTGCTGGGATTATGCAACACAGATCTGGACTCCGGCTGCCCACTCTGTCTACGAGCAACAGAAGAGACATGCCTTAAATTAGACATTTTTTTTTTCGTGATCATTCTTGTTTTTATATGAGTGTGAACACTGTTTCTAGCTTTTTTGTTATTGTTTTGTACTGTTATTCTTTTATTTCTTCCTTCTCTTTTTCCCTGCTGCCTTCTTCAACAGTTTCCCAAGTCCTCCAGCCTTGCTTCTAATCTCGCCCTCTTCTTCTATTTCTCTATTCCTCCCATCCACCCACTTTTAAATGTTCTCCCCTGATGATAAAATCACTATACTGAGGGCTTACTTATTGAACACAATTTCTGATTTGTTTTAGATTTTGTTGTATACCCAACAAATCTCCGTTAATGGTGGCAAATTAATAACTACCAAAGTTTGTCATTTTCTAGGCTGTGTCTGATATTATTGCTGATTGTACTACCTTAGCCTAGTGACATAATTATTCTAATCAGTTGTTCTTCCTGGTGTGGAGTAAGGACAGGAAAGGAAAAAGTTAAATTATTGTTACTTGTGGATGATATACTTTATATACAAGACCCTACAAATTCCACCAAAAACTTCTAATTTCTTTTAAATGGTGAGATAGAGGCTCACTATGTAGTTCAGCCTAGCCTTGAACTCCCTGTACAGCCCAGGCTGGCCTTGAACTCAGGGCAATCCTCCTGCCTCAGAATACTTCTAGATTTAAAAAACAAATTCAATAGAATATCTGCATACAAAGTCAATACTCAAAATCAATTGCATTCCTCTACACAAATGACAAACTCACTGAAAGAAATTAGGGAAATAACACCTTTCACAAAAGCATCCAGAAAAAACAGAATACCTAGGAATCAATCTAACACCAAAAGTAAAAGGCCTTTATATTGAAAACTACAGTACTCTGAAAAAGGAGATCAAAGACGGTATCAGAAAATGAAAAAAAAAATTCCTTGTTCTTAGATAGGAAGAACCAATATAGTGACAATGGTTATACTTTCAAAATTGTTACACAAATTTAATGCAATCCTGATCAAAATACCAACAGCATATTTCACAGAATTAGAGAAAAACAATTCTAAAATTCATATGTAACCAGAAGAGACCAAGAATAGCAAAAGCAACTCTCGGCAACTAAGACAAGGCAGAGGGCATCACAATCTATGACTTGAAATTATACTACAAAGCTACTGTGATAAAAACAGCATGGTACAGGCAACAAACATAACAAAAAACCAGACCTGAGGATCAATGGAACAGATTAGAAGATGTAGAAACAACTCCAAACACACTCAGCCACCTTATTCACTTTCCATTTCTCCTTTTGCTCCAAACATGGTAATCCTGATTTTTCCCTTCCTACATCTCAAGCCTGCTATTTACCCTCCATTTCTCTAAGATGTCACTATACTTTCTCATTTGAGAAAAATAACTACAGATAGTCTTTAACCAACCAATTTTCCAAAAAATATTGCCTTCATATCACTTCCCAAATGATTTTTTTTTAACAAGTGTCTTACAAAGTTGCTCCAGTTGGCCTCAAACTTACAATCTTCCCACCTCACCCTCCAAAGCAGATGGGTTTACAAGTGTGCACCATAGGTGCAGCCCCCAGGTATATATATAAATACCTATACAAATTCAACCATCCAGACTGATTCACAACCTAACTTCCCGCCCTTTTCTCTCACTGCTACACTGAAATCTTTGACAAAAATCGTATTGGTCTGTATGTTGTCCACTAAACCTACCCAGATCATTATCTGTATGGGTTTTATTAAAACCTTCCAGCTTACTATCTGCTTATGAAAGTAATGTTCAACTTTCAATGCCTGGGCAGTAGAAACCCCAAAGTTTCTGTGATAACTTTCTAATATCAGCAATTCCTTGTTCTTGGAATGCCCATCATATTCATATGATCTGAAGTACTCATTGTATCCAAATCTATCTCACACGGACATGTGTTTTATGCATGTACCCCCACACACATCATACAGAAATCATGAAACATTGTAATACTATTGGTTACTACTGGTACTACCTTTTAAAATTCAAAATAAGAAAAAAGTAAAATATGTAATACATTTTTCATTCTACTTTACAAATGCAGTCATTGTTGACTTAGGAATGTGAAAATAGATATTATTGATTTACTAGAGTATCAACAGACAGTACAGCACTGTCTGATGGAGTATAAAAGTCAGTCATATCCTTTTCTGATAAGAGTATTTATAAAAGTAAAAAGAAGATGAAAATATTTACTTGTGGTTTTTTTTTTGTTTTATGCAGTAAGCCTGGGTCTTGCCCATGCTAGGCAACCTATCACTGACCTATTCCTTCAATACAAAAAAATTCTAGTAGCATCATCTATTTAATAAAATACATCCAAAACTCATCATGTATTTTATACTTTTAGCACACCTCAGCTCATACTGGCCACATTTCAAGTGTTCAATCACATATGGCTAGTACCTACTGTATTAGTGTTGGAGAATACAGAACTGGCATATTTAAAGTTTGCTGCCAGGTGTGGTGGCACACCTGTAATCCCAGCACTAAGAAGGATGAAGCAGGAGGATCACTGGACATTCACAGCCAGCCTGGGCTATATAGAGTTCCTACGGGTTTATCTCTACAAGTGACTTCAGTATTTCTCTTTTGCAGCATTCAATATTCTTTCCTTGTTTCGTACTCTTGCCATTTTAACTATAGGCTGATGTGGGGAGGTTCTTTTCTGGTCATGCCTGTTAGGGGTTCAAATATCTCTGCACGTAAATGTCTAAACTTTTCCTAGGATTTGCTAAGTTTTCTGGCATTATTTCATTAAATAGATTTTCTACACCATTAGTCTATACCTCAGCAGATCATTCAGAATGTTGGAAATGCTCTATATCTGCAATTACCAGTACAGCGGCCATTTACCCACATGTGACTGTTGAGCATTTGATCTGTGGCTAATGAAAATGAGGAACTAAGCTTCTGATTTTGTTCATTCTTGATTAATTTAAACAGACACATATGGCAAGTGGCTATGGTTTTAGACAGCAGATGTAAAGTATCAATCATATTTTTATTTACTCTCAATTATTTTGCAAATACTGACAAGCTGTAAATCCACTCATTTCCCAGCTGGAACATTTTATAGTCTCACTTATGAAACATTAAATATTAACTTCTTTCTAAAGATTTATTTATTAACCAACTTCTAGTCACTGAAAAGTACAGGTTTTTATTCTAAGTGAGCTGGGATCTCTACATTTCCAAGTGATAAACTCAAATCATAAACTTTAATAGGCTCTTTTCTCTCATTAGCCTCAGAAGATTAAACAGTCCAAAACAGAAAGAAAAGATCAGAAGTTGTGCGAATTCACAAAAAGTCTGCCAATATAATGCAAGAAATGCAGAAGCAGAAAGTGGTACAATCCCTGACAATTTATTGATCTAATTATCCAAAGATGTTTTAAATTTTGCCATTTTTTTAAAGCATCCTTTTAGTATGAAGTCTTAAAAATGCACTGGGCATAATGTACACCTGTAGTCCCAGCACTGTGGGAGGCTGAGACAGGAAGATCATAAGCCCTAGCCCATTCTGGTCAACTTGGAAACTCAGCAAAACCCACTGAAAAAAAACTGGAGATTTGAGATGTGAGGCAGCACAAAGAAGTTCAATTTCCAATGCATTTAAAAAAAAAAAAATTGCTGCTTCCACAATTCCAGTCTGTTTCTAGTCTTACAATAATTTTGCTTTTTGTTTTGAGACAGGATCTTGCTACGTAGTTTAGGCTGACCTCCTTTTAACTCACCATGAAG